TAGGAGGTGGGGGTGGGGCTTGAGGTGGGAGGAATGGTTAGGGAGGCAGGGACAAGCTGGGCTGGTTTTGGGATGCGGTCGGGGGAGGGGAGATTTTGAAGCTTGTGAAGTCCACATTGATACCCTTGGGCTGCAGGGTTCCCAAGTGAAATATGAGATTCTGTTCCTGCAGACTTCAGGTGGCATCATTGTGGCAATGCAGGAGGCCCAGGATGGACATGTCGTCCAAGGAGTGGGAGGGGGAGTTGAAATGGTTCGCGACTGGGAGATGTAGTTGTTTGTTGCGAACCGAGCGTAGGTGTTCCACAAAGCGGTCCCCAAGCCTTCATTTGGTTTCCCCGATGTAGAGGAGGCCACAATGGGAACAGCGGATACAGTATACCACATTAGCAGATGAACATCTGTTTGATGTGGAAGGTCTTCTTGGGGCCTGGGATGGGGGTGAGGGAGGAGGTATGGGGGCAGGTGTAGCACTTCCTGCGGTTGCAGGGAAAAGTGCCAGGGGTGGTGGGGCTGGTGGGGCGTATGGAGCGGACAAGGGAGTCACGGAGAGAGTGGTCCCTCCGGAAAGCAGATAAGGGTGGGGAGGGAAAAATGTCTTTGGTAGTGGGGTCAGATTGCAGATGGCGGAAGTGTCGGAGGATGATGCGTTGGATTCGGAGGTTGGTGGGGTGGTACCTGAGGACGAGGGGGATTCTGTTTTGGTTGTTACTGCTAGTAGGGGGTGTGAGGGATGAGTTGCAGGAAATGCGAGAGACACGGTTGAGGGCATTTTCGACCACTGTGGAGGGGAAATTGTGGTCCTTGGAAAAACGAGGACATTTGGGATGTCTGGGAGTGGAATGCGTCATCTCGGGAGCAGATGCGGCGGAGGCGAAGGAATTGGGAATAGGGGATGGCCTTTTTGCCGGAAGGTGGGTGAGAGGAGGTGTAGTCTAGGTAGCTGTGGGAGTCGGTAGGCTTGAAATGGATATTGGTTTCCAGGTGGATGCCAGAGATGGAGACAGAGAGGTCCAGGAAGGAGAGAGAGGTATCAGAGATGGTTCAGGTGAACTTAAGGTTGGGGTGGAAGGTGTTAGTGAAGTGGATGAACTGTTCGAGCTCCTTGCGGGAGCACGAGGCGGCGCCGATACAGTCACTGATGTAACTGAGGAAGAGGTGGGGGATAGGGCCAGTGTAGCTTTGGAAGAGGGATTGTTCCATGTATCCTACAAAGAGGCAGGCATAGCTTGGGCCCATGCGGGTACCCATGGCCACCCCCTTTATCTGTAGGAAGTGGGAGGAATTGAAGGAGAAGTTGTTAAGGGTGAGGACGAGTTCAGCTATGCGGATGAGGGTATCGGTGGCAGGGGACTGGTCGGGCCTGCGGGACAGGAAGAAGCAGAGGGCCTTTTGGCCATCTGCACGGGGAATGCAAGTGTACAGGGACTGGACATCCATGGTAAAGATGAGGTGTTGGGGACCAGGGAATTGGAAGTTTTGGAGGAGGTGGAGGGCGTGGGTGGTGTCACAGACGTAGGTGGGGAGTTCCCGGACCAAGGGGGAGAAAATGGAGTAGAGGTAAGTGGAGATGAGTTCAGTGGGGCAGGAGCAGGCGGAGACAATGGGTCGACCAGGGCAGTCAGGTTTGTGGATTTTGGGAAGGACATAGAAACGGGCAGTGCAGGGTTGGGGAATGATGAGGTTGGAGGCTGTGGGTGGGAGGTCACCTGAGGTGATGAGGTTGTGGATGGTCTGGGAGATGATGGTTTGGTGCTCGGGGGTGGGGTCATGATCAAGGAGGCGGTAGGAGGAGGTGTCAGAGAGCTGGCGCCTGGCCTTGGCGATGTAGAGGTCAGTGCGCCATACTACAACTGCGCCTGCCTTGTCTGCGGGTCTTATGGTGAGATTGGGGTTGGAGCGGAGGGCTGCACGTTCTGTTGGGGAGAGGTTGGAGTGGGTGAGAGGGGTGAAGAGGTTGAGGCGATTGATGTCTCGATGGCAGTTACGGATGAAGAGGTCGAGGGAGGGTAGGAAGTCTTGGGGTGGTGTCCAGGAGGAGGGGGTGTGTTGGAGGCGGGAGAAGGGGTCAGTAGAGGGAGGGTTAGGCTCACGATTAAAGAAGTAAGCGCGGAGGTGGCGGAAAAACTGCTCAACGTCCAAGCGTGAGTTGTATTCATCGATGTTTGGGTGGAGGGAAACAAAGGTGAGCCCTTTATTGAGACTGACCATTCATCCTCAGTAAGGGGGAGGTCTGGGGGGATGGTGAAAACCCAGCAGGGCTGGGTGCTGGTGTTTCCTCTGGAGCTGCTGGCTGTGGAGGCGGTGGGCGGCTCGACGTCGGCGTCGGCGGTGGGCAGACTTAAACCTACCTGGTTAGATACAGGGACACTGGTGCGAGTAATGTACGATAGTATTTTGGGTAAAAGCTGCAGTTCTGTTTCTTTCCAGTTTGAGGGATATTTGGGGATTAATGGAATTTTTTCTGTGTGTGTAAGTATCTTTGAATTAGTATTATGAGTAGATAGTTAGATTTATTCTATTTTATCATTTCTTTATTATTAGAATACACTTCAGTTTTATTATTGAAGAAAAGTTTGCAGCATTGCATATGTACACTTCAACAAGAAACCAGTTCATTAAAATAAAAACAAGTAATAATATAGGTTCCTGTCTGGGATCTGACTCGTCTGCCATTAACGATGGGATCATAACAACAGGAAGATGCTGTCTGAAAATGTTGGTGGATGCAAATTCTTTGAAAAAAGCATTAGTTCACCACCTGAAGAGTGAATTATCAAGGCTTGTGTAATTAGGGTGGTGGATTGAAATTAACTGAGCTGCTCTTGTGAATGTGACAAGCCAACCAGTTGCCTTCTGTGCTGTAACCATTCTTTGATTCTATAATGGGAGCATTTAATATAGCTTACTGTCTTAATATTACATCGCACAACAAAATATTAGCTCGTGGCAATTCTTAGAATGCACAGGAGCTTTTTGAATCTCTGCTTGTCCAATGCAGTTTATAGACTGACTAGTGCACATATATTTTAACCAAGTAAATATCGTGTGTTGTGTGTTGGATTTTGCAAATTGAACAGCAAATAATTTGCTCGTTAATATCTGTAGTATTAAATGAAATTTCAGGTAAAATGGGTGAAAAACAAACAGATGTAATTAAACCAAAGAAATGATGTTTTCCTTTTCAGCACATTGTTTAAGAAAAAGTAGCTTAACTGAAAGCTTTGATTCCATCCATGTTGTAACATTATTGTAGCTATTTCTTTCAGTTGACTAAATAATTTGAGGTTAACTGTTGTTGTACCTGCCAGTGTTAGGCAAAAAGATTAGCTTTTAACAGTTAAACTTGCAATAAACTACTGTCCGTAGGCCTTAAGGCATAGGAGCAGAATTAAGCCATTCAGATCATCATCTCAGCTTTCCCATTCAATGAGGTCATGGCTGATGTGATAATCCTCAACTTCATTTTCCTGCCTTTTCCCTATAACCTTTGACTTGCTCACTGATTAAAAATTTGTCTGTCTCAGCCTCAAATATACTTCACAACCCAGCCTCGTCAGCTGTTTGCAGTGAAGTCTATTATTGATGGAAGTGAAAGATAGAAGAGAGAATAATTACAATCAAATTGACAGACTTTAAGTCAAGAACCAGTGAAAGAAGTGCCAATATTGAAGAGACGACACAAAAACAAAGATTCTGATTAGTTGATATAAAGCATATGTTATAGGAAGAAGAGAGAATTCTGTGGTGTGAGACATTGGGAAAGAAGTGGTATGATGAGAGACATCGCTGAATCACTAATTCTATATAGTAAAGTGTCCAACACAAATCTGTTACATCTGTATGCAACCTTAGTTAACTTGTATTAACCTGCTATTTTCCCTTTCTGTAGGACTTTCACCAGATTTGCAGTCCATGGAACAGATTCGCAGAATAATGAGACCAACAGATGTTCCTGACACAGGTAAAATTATCATAAAATATCCTGGAATGTAGCTATTACTATTTTGTTTTGACTATTTCAGTTAGTGCCTTGAGAATCTCTCTGTCAAATCCACTGTCTAAGCATCCATTCAGACGTGGTTGGCTGATTCCCGTATCAATTATCAATACATTAATAAGTGCTTGACTTTGTTCTTTGAGCAACGAGTACTTAAAATGTCTCTGGTACTTCATCTTCACTTGACCCCAGAGAAAATCTATAATTGCACAAAATGCATGGTGCAGAAACAAATATTCTAATTTAAGAGGCAAATTTAAAATGATATCAGTAAACCACTACATGTCAGCAATTTGATGAACTTTAGGTGAAGGCTAAACAATGTAATAAATAAATAATGAGCATCAAACTACCACACAGATAACTGAAAAATCGACATAGTTACCAGAATTACATTCTCAGTAGCATTTACTTCTCTTGCCATTGGTGCGTGGTCTTGGTTTGTTCCAGCCATTTTCTCATTGGTTTAATGAAAAACATTCTTCGGGTAGTTCCTAGGATTCAGCTGCTTGTCAATAATGATCTTTGCTGATCATCGTACATATTCAGCACCGTGAGACTTCTCAGGTGCTGAAGCAGTTCGTGTCCAAATCCAGTAAGACCTGGACAGTATTCAAGCTTGAGTTGAAAAGTGGCAAACAACATTCGTGCCACACATGTACCAAGCAAAAACCATCTCCAACAAGAGAAAATCTAACCAATGCCCCTTTAATGACAGCGCCATTGCTGAATTCCTCATTATCCACATCCTGAAGAGTTATCATTGACCAGAAACTGAACTGAACTAGCCATATAAATACTGGCTACAGAAGCTGGCAAGAAGGTAGGAATCCACAATGAGGAGCTCACCTCCTGTCAACCCAAAACCTGTGTACCATTCTCAAGGCCCAAGTCAAGAGTGTGATGGAATACACATGCCTCTTTCCTGGATGGGTGCAGCTGCAAGAGCACTCACATACATAAGCATACCAATTTGGCCCTTCAAGCCTGCTCCGCTGATCAATAAGATCATGGCTGATATATTTGTGTTTCAAATTTCACATTCTTATCTCTTGCAATAATCTTAGATTCTTGTTACTCATGCACGTTAATCTGCCTTCACGCTAAAAATATTCAGTGATCCCAACCTCCATAGCTTTGAGGCAGTAAGTTCCAAAGTGTCTCAACAGTCTGAGAAAATCCTTGCTTCATCTCGGTCTAAAATGGCAGCCACTAATTTTAAGTGTTCCCTTGGTTCTGGGCTTGCCTACCTGAGTAAATATTCTCTTCCCCCTCCATCTTGTCAAAACCATGCAGGATCTTCTAAACTTGTATCTCATCTCACTCTTCTAAATTCCAGTGAAAACAAGCCCCATCTGTCTTAGAGAGATAGTAGGAAGGAGGGTCTCGACCCGAAACGTCAGCTTTCCTGCTCCTCTGATGCTGCTTGGCCTCCTGTGTTCATCCAGCTTTACACCTTGTTATCCCATCTGTCTTATCCTTCCTCCTAAGAATTCCTGCTCCTTCCAGGTATTAATCTCGAAATCCTCCTCTGAACCATCTCCATGTGCATTTATATCTTTCCTTAAGCAAGGAATCCAAAACAGTACGCATTATTCAAGATTGGCCTCTGCCCTGTATAACAGAAGTTCAACATTCTTTTATGGCATGCTCCTCTCCTCGTAAAGACTGTTGTTCCATTAGCTGCTTGTTGTATTTGCACACTAGCTTTTTCTGACTCTTGGATTCGAACACAAAGATCAATTCTGCAGTCAACCATTCATTCTTTAAGTATTTAAATAATCTTTATTTTCATTCTTACTGCCAACATCAATATCTCAATTTTCACACTATATACCCTATCTGTCAGATTTTTTTTTGCCCACTCACTTAATCTATTATGTCAGTTGACATCCCAGTATCATCCTCAAAACATACCTTCCTGCCAATTCTTATATCATCTAAAATTTGCATATCATGCGGTTGATCCCCTTCTCTGTCATTGATATAAATAGTAAAACATTGAAAACCCACCACAGTCCTCTGTGGAATTCCACTGATCATATCCTTCCAATCCGAAAAGGACCAATTTATGCACACTGTTTTCTGTAGCCAGTCAATCCCTTAACCGTGCTGGTATGTTACCCCCTATTGGGATGTTTGTTGTATGTTCTATAGCGAAGTCAGAAACAAAATGATTATTCATTACATCTGTCATTTCTTTATTATCTACTGTTAAAGCCCCAGCTTCACTCTTTGGAAGACCAGCAGTCACTTTATTTACCTTTCCTTTTTCAGATGTCTTTAGAAGCTGTCGCTGTTTACAGGTTCAGTTGAGATGTTCAAGAGGGCATTGGCAGTACCAGTGTACCTGACTGTTCTGTGCAGGACATATGGATTTTCCCGTTTAGGGTGATACAAAGGTTAGGTTATTCTGTAGGAAGGAGGTTATTGAGAAGCACAGGCCTCCCCATATGATCTCTCGCACTGTAGCAACATGTATCACTGTAGTTTGAAGCATCAGTAATACATACACTGACAGAGCAGCCACTGCATTGGCGTTGAGTTTCTTTTCCTGCCACTGACGCAGTTCATGTGATCATTGAAACTAAGAATCCGATGCATTCAAATCTGACTGCCGTTTTTAACCTACATGTTTATGCTATTTGTAGGTGACTCACTTTTCTTGCTGTGTCGGACAGTATGTTGAAGGGGAAAGAAAGATGTATTTTAAAATGACGAAGGAGAGGCAGGCCATCAAAGTTCTATAACTGCCATTAAAGATCAATCCCTTACAGAATACAACATTTTCTAAATATTAACCTATAGCTAATCATTTATTTGTTGGTTATCCAACCGTTGCCCTATATATTAGATTCATTTAAAAGGAAACTAGAAACAATCAATAATTGCACGTCTCTGTAACACTTGGAAATGGCATCGTGTTCAGCGCCAAGTTTTCCATCCTTAGTTGATATAGAGTTTTATTGCATCCCTGTGCTGTTCTCACAGAGAGGACATCTTTCTGTGGTTTTCATTGTTTTGATGTATATGTGTGTTTTTTTTCAGGTTTGCTTTGTGATTTGCTGTGGTCAGATCCTGATAAGGATGTTCAGGGATGGGGTGAGAATGATCGTGGTGTATCCTTCACCTTTGGAGCTGATGTAGTGAGCAAATTTCTCAACCGGCACGATTTAGATCTAATATGTCGCGCTCATCAGGTAAAAAAAAAAAATTTGTAAATGGAACAGTCTTTATGTGCAACTGTGAAATGTTCTTGCATGTTCTGCCAGAGCTGCTCAGCTCCTGACTTCTTTACAGCCTTGGTCCAAACATGGACAAAAATGCTGATTCCCAGAGTGAATTGAGATTAATTGCCCTCAGTGTCAGTTTTACTGAGTGCAGCATCGAGTAGGCCCGGCAAAATTGTAATAGGTGGGAATTAGCATGGGAGTGGGTTGGTGGTGAAGTTCTCTTTGGTTGAAGTCAGACCTAGCATAATGTTTGCAGTTGTTAGAGGCGAATTATTTCAGTACCAGGACATCTCTACATGAGCTCCTTAGGATAGTTTCCAAGACTCAACCGGTTTCAAATACTTCATCAATGATATTCCCGCAGGCATAGGATTCGAAGTTTGCTAATGACTGCATAGTATTCAGTTCATAACTATTCAGATAATGAAGCTATTCTATGCCCTTTTTCAGGTGAGACCCAAAATGATCAGATTTGTCCAATGAGTGACAACTAGCATTACATCACGTGTTGGGAAATGGCTGTCTCCAGATAATCTAACTGTTGACACTGTTTAATGCCATTCCTATTGATTAATACAATACTATCAGCCTTAAAATTCCAAATCTTATTTTAATTGATTTTAAATTTCACCAGTAGCCATGATGGGACTTGACCCACGTACCTAAGGCATTAACGTGGATCTTTGGGTTGCTAGTCTAGTAACGTTGCCATGACAGCACCATATCTCCATGACATCTGACCATTGACCAAAAAATTAAAGTAGAGTAGGTGAGGGGCAGGAAATTCTATGGGTTAGTAACTCTTTAGACATGCTGCAGGAGTTCCTCAGGGTAGTATTTTAGGCACAGCCATCTTCAGCTGCTTCATCAATGTCTTTCCTCCAACATTCAGTAGTAGGAATGTTTACTGATTAGTGTTCACGTTCAGTATCATTTGCAATTCCTTACACATTGAAGCAGTGCACGTCCATTTGCATTAAGATGTGGACGACGTCAAAAAAACTAGTATTGTAGATAGGACTTTAAAGCAAATAGAAAGGGGTTGGAGGAGCAGATGCATTGGAATCGCACTGTCTGCACATTCTGTTCCAAGACACGTATTATCCTGACTAGGAATTATTGTTTGGCTCAAAACCTGGAATCCGCTCCTTTGCAGCCCTATAACTGTACGTGCACCACATGGAATGCAGCTTTGCAAAAAGACAGGTCGTCACCACCTTTTCAGGGTATTAAGGATGAACATAACAGTTG